CTTGATTTTCAGTGAATATGATCCAACTGAAGTAAAATATAATTTTTCATTATTTTATATAATATATATGATGACAAATAATTTGGATAATTTTTCAAAAGAACAAACATTCAATAACAAGTCTTTTAAGGCAGATAAGATCAATTTTGGATATAAAAACTTTAGATTTCTTAACATTTATTAATGGTATCATCATGGTCTGTCCTGTGCAGAAAGACAAAATGCAAAATTATTTCTTTACTAAAACCTCTGTAACTTTGCTCCAGTTAATTTTAGCAGCATGGATCTTTGGTACCAAGATTATTTAAGKAGAGTTTGTAAATGCTGAGATATACTCAGTCACATTTCAGCATGGTATTTTGAGCAAAAACTTCAAGAAAACCCATTGGGGCTTAAGAGGTTAATACAATCTCAAGTTTATCTTGTCAAATTATGTTCCAATTTAAAGTCAAAAAGAAAAAAAAAGCTGTGTATTTCTCACATTTTTTCACCTGGAAAATACTAAAATCAAATTGTATACCTCTCTATATTTTATATGACTGTGTCAGAAACTGTTTCATTTTGAAGGTAAGGTGTTGAACTCAACTCACCCTCAGCCGGATTAAGGGTTTCTCTGGTGTGAGTGGACATCCAAGCCTTTCCCTCTCTGCTTCCTCTAGCATCTCTGTGACCTACAAAATAACAAAGTGATACACATACAGGGAAAAATGAGGTTGGACAAAAAAAAGTGATGAAACAAGTGGAGCATAATTTAATAGTATTGATGTTACCTTCGCATAGCACAAGTCCTCCACCTTCTTTGTGACCTGAGGTGTATCAGGTGTGAAGAGGTCTTCGTAGTCAGCCAGCACCACGTCCTGGATAAAGAACTGACGGACCGTCTTTAAGGGGATCTTCTGCAGGTTCATCTTACGACCTTTCACCCTCAGCAGTCCAATATGTCTAAAGAAACAACAGATAGATTTGGGTGCTGCTGTTTTATATAATCAAATCAGAATTTAAAAAGTTATTCAGTGTGTGTGTTTTACTTCTTGGCAGCCTCTCCAGGGGACAGGGAGGTGACTACAGAGCTGCCTGGCTGTGTCACGTAGAAGAGCTGCTGCTCATTTCTGGACGGTTTAATCAAACACTCATGTTCGTGACCCCACACCACCAGGTCAAGAAAGTCATCTAGGAACTGCTCGGGAATGTAGTTTGTGGGACCGTGCTTACTTCTAAACATAACATACAAACAGACACAATTAAAAAAACAGAGTAATCTTTAGTTGATAACATGATAAAAACGTATCAGCACCTATTTATTATTGTTATGCTCTGTTTGGCCTCATAATGACTTTTACAGTATTTGTAAATGTTCTGAAGCTTCTATAAATTCATTTATTAAAATGTATTAAAATGTAAWGGACTAGACTTTACCAGCACCACTCATATTTTCGCACACACCTATTTTGGTGGATCGCAAACATGTTAAACCATTCATCCTGGTCTTCTTTGGGTCGAAGCATGGTTACCTGGTTGTTGACAAACATCCTGTACAAACGCTCATCTGGAATAGAACCTTGACACAGAATAAAAAAATTAAAAATACATTAAGACAGTACCACATATAATAGAAGAACAAGCACTTGCTATATAATTATTAAATATTACAATGACAATGCAAGACTTTTATTGGTAAAAAAAAAAAAAAACATTGGCAGGCAAAGTTCCAATGTACTGTAAAAGCCTATGATTTATTGCAATCCAAACAGTCCTTTGTGTTATTGATATCGAGGCAATAATAAACTTTGGCACATGGTGAAGCCAATGGTAATTAAAAAGGGATAATAGTTTTTACAAACACAAACTTACCAAGACCATAAAGGGCCAACTTGGTGTTGCCTTTCTTCAAAAGGATGGGACTAATCTCTATCCTCTCCACTGACTGGGAGTGGCCAAAGTGATTGACGAGACCAGAAGCACTTAGCAGATCCAGAGCACACAACCCTTCCGCCTTGAAACAAAAACATGACATCATCTAAACCAATCCCACCGAAATGCAAGTAACTATAAAAAGTGCAATATGTCATTTTACAATATTCTCAGAATAGATGAATCTCACCCCAGTTGGGTCATCATGGTTGCCATGAATGCTGAACACGGGAATAGAGATGTTCAGGTTTTCATCTTGATAGTTCACCCACGGGAACCTACGTCAAATCATTATTTACTTAACATACACACAGCTCTGGCTGAAAGAAGAGCAAAATAAAAGAACAAAAAACCGACTTGGTTGTGTTGAAGTTGACAGTCTGGTCACTGAGGATGTTAAAGGTTACTGGTGAATCCCCCATGCAGTATTTCCTCAGCATAGTGATGCTGCTGTGGAGGCATCGCCGTGACGGTTTGTTCTCGTGAAATAGATCTCCTCCCAGGAGGATGAAATCAACCTGCAAAAAAAAAACAAATATGTGAAAGGAAAATGGAGAATGTTTGTTTAAGTCGGGTAATAGAACAAAATGGAAATCTATGCAAGCAAACAGAAATATCTACAAAAGTGCATGCACCTGATTTGTCTTGGCACAATTCAAGATTTCATCCAGTGTGTTGTAGGTGTCATTGCCACGGATAGCATCTTTCTCAAGGTAACCGAGATGAATATCTGTTGCAATCAGGATCTTAAAAGTATCCTCATCATCTCTGAAAAATATTTTAGAATTCAAAGAAAAACAGCTCATTCATTTGTTTATTTTAAACAAGACACGAGTGTATCTTATTGGAACATGGCTCCTTACAATCACAACAAAGACAGATTTTATTACTAATTGTTAGATTTGAGAGAAAATTTCAAGAAACTCACAAAGTTTGCTCTGAAGACATGATGATGCTAAAAACTGAAGGATCTGTTTAAAGCTGGAAACTTGTCAGCAACTTGCTCTCCTGCAGAGAATAGAAGCAATAACATGTCAATTACCAATATGCTTAAACATTAGGGAAAATAATGTGCTTTTTATTATATAATTGTTGCAGCT